GACGCCGTGGCTCCGGGTGCATCTGGACGCGCCTGCGCTCAGCGGCCCGCAGCGCCGTGCCCTGCAGGGGGCGCTCGTGCTCTCGGACCGCGAGCCCTTCAGCGCCCCCTCGCCCTTCGCCGAGCTCATCTTGCCGCCGACGGACGCGCAGCAATAAAGCTCGAGAGCCGCAAAGCCGTGTCCGTCCTGACTCGCTGCGGGCTGGGGGCGGGAAGGCGGGAAGAGCCCGGGACGGGGCCCTCGCGCGAAGGGGCGGGACTAGGGAGTCCCCGCCCCATCCGGCACGTGACCCCGATGGTTTCCCCCCCGCCACCTTCCGCGCGCACTACCGGCTGCACTCTGGGTGCGCGTGCGCGGCGGCCTTGACGCGTGCGCACTGGCGCCTAGCGCGGCCGCCCGGAGAGCTCGGCCAGCTGCGCGCTGGAGGAGGCGGTGGTTGTTCCCTGACTCGAGACCCCGACGCCGGACCGCCCGAGGTGCTGACCCCGGGGCCCGGGGAGCCTGGGAAGACCCCAGGTGCAGGGGGTTGCGCTCGGTGCGTGGCCGGCGTCCGTGTCCAGCTTTGTGACCGCTGCTGGGCAGACAGCAGCTCGTGCGCGGAGGGCGCCCTGGAGGGAGCGCCCAGGAAGCACCCTCAGCAGCCTTCGCTCGCCAGCACACCCTGTGCACTGCTTAGAGCCCATTTTGTAGAGGAGGAAGCGGGGACAGAGGCTAAGGGACGTGCCCAAGGTCACCCAGCCCGGAGCCCAAGCTCAGGAATCGTGGGACGAGGGTGGGGCCCAGGCGTTTAGGAGCCCTCGGGACTCGGTCAGCAGCAGCTGAACAGGTGAGGGGGTCCTCAGACCTCTGCCTGCAAACCTCCAGAAGCGGCTGCAGAAAGGCGGTCACCGAGGCAACGGCAGAGCGCGCGCCTTGAGCCACCCGTAGTCGGAAACCTGGCTGAGCAGAGGGCGGCATTTGCGGCGAGCGGAAACCTTGTTCCTCCCCCCGGGTGAGTGCGGGAAAGAAGGGTCCCTCTGGGAGGGCCGAGGGATGGCGCGGCAGGGGTGGGGAGTTAAGCCTGTGCTCTGTGGGGACACGGTGTTTGGTTTCGGTGGGGATGGGGCGGGGGTCTCTGAGGTGGAAGGCCGGCAGCTGCGCAAGAGCGGAGGCCGTCTCTGAGGGTCGAAGCCAGACTCAGCCTCCTTTCTGAAATGGGGGCGTGTCGCAAACAGATAACCGTGCTCAGGATTCCAGGCAAGCCGTGCACCTGGAATGACTTCAGGAAGCTCAGATGCTAAGACACAGGTGAGTGCTGGGCTGTCTGGAGCTGCAGGTGCAGGCCAGGGTAGGAGGAGACAGAATGAGGCTCTCAGCTAAAGGACGGGAGTGACAGGCGTGGACTTTTGATGACACCAAAGCTGGAGTTTGAGGTTTCAGAGGTGAAGGGGTTCTGAGCTCAGCAGAGCAGTGGGTGACCCATAGGGGACAGCAGTGAGCCTAAGTGTGGAGTTGGTCCTTCAGGCAGTGGCCAGTCTCTCCAGAGTGATGGAAGATGACCCAGGAGGCCAAGGCACCTTCTGGCTCCTGAAACCTTTCCTCTTTTCCAGGAGCATCAGGCCGGTGCTGCTGCTGCTGGCTCAGGTGCCCAAGCCTCCAGCCCTCCCTAGGATCCCCAGAGGCAAGGCCTTCCATGTGAGCTACCAACTCTCATCCAGTCAGGGCCCTGCAGAGACAGGCAGGCAGGGCCAGCCCCGGGGCCCTGGGCTACGAACTAGGCTGTTAGTTACAGCCTTGTTTGGGGCTGGGCTGGGTGGTGCCTGGCTGGCCATGAGGGCTGAGAAGGAGCAGCAGCGGCAGCAACGGCGGACAGAGGCCCTGCGCCAAGCCTCCGTGGGCCAGGGCGACTTTAGCCTGCTGGACCACCGGGGCCAGGCTCGCTGCAAAGCAGACTTCCGGGGCCAGTGGGTGCTGATGTACTTTGGCTTCACTCACTGTCCTGACATCTGCCCCGACGAGCTGGAAAAGCTGGTGCAGGTGGTGCGGCAGCTGGAGGCTGAGCCCAACCTGCCCCCAGTGCAGCCCATTTTCATCACTGTGGACCCTGAGCGGGACGATGTTGCAGCCATGGCCCGCTACGTGCAAGACTTCCACCCACGGCTGCTGGGCCTGACCGGCTCCACAGAGCAGGTTGCGCAGGTCAGCCGCAGCTACCGTGTGTACTACAGCGCCGGCCCCAAGGATGAGGACCAGGATTACATCGTGGACCACTCTATCGCCATCTACCTGCTCAGCCCCGACGGCATCTTCACAGACTATTATGGCCGGGCCAGGTCGGCCGAGCAGATCACAGACAGTGTGCGGCGCCACATGGCTGCCTTCCGCAGTGTCCTGCACTGAGCCAGGTCATTAAAGGGTGTGGTGGAGCTGTGTGTGTGTGCATGAGCTATACCAGCGGCCCTTGGAGGCCATCACAGAAAAGGGGCCCTGCACCTGACTGCTGGCTGGAGATGGGCAGCTATCTTCTCTACACAGAGCAGGAGGCTTTTAATGGGACAGGTGGGATGGCAACACCACTTTATTAGGCTGGGCCAGCCAGGAAGCAAGCGTGGAGTGAGCAGGTGTGTGCCCAACATCCATGGGGTCAGGGCTCCCACTCAGGGCTGAGCCATAGAGGGGGCGGCGTAGGTCTGGAAACGCTTGTGGGCCCGCTGATGTGTGAGCAGCCTTAGGGACATGGTGTCCACAGCTGCCTCCAGCCCCGGCTGCTGGGTGATCTCTACTGTGTGGTCATTGGCCTGTAAAGACAGAGAGTCAGCAAAGCCCAGAGACCGCTTCCCTCCCAGGCCCCCAGGGCCACTCACCAGTTGCAGGGAGGCCAGCATGGCGCGACACACCTCGAAGGCAGGCTGGCCAGCCACCAACTTTGCAAAGGGACACCACTGATTGAGCTGACTAAACCTTGAGACCATCTGGTCCCCATAAATGTGGATATCAAAGGGCACATGCTGCTCCTACAAGGGGGAAGGGAAGGTCCTGAGGCAAACCCTAAAGGCATCAGAGTCCAGTCCCCAAGCAGAAGCTGGCCCAGCCCATCGCACCTGCTCCTGGAGCATGGGCTGGATGCTGTCCTCCCAGTCCCTGACTCGCTGGCTCAGCTCCGTCTCCTGGACGAACTTCTGAGATGTGGTGATGAAGAGCTCCTAGGGAAGGACCAGGGGCTACTGCCTTCTGTCAGGGACCCATCACCCAGCTCCCCATCCACTCCAACTAGGGCCTACCACATTCCTTCGGACCAGCTCCTCATAGCTCAGGGATGCTGGCATGGCCTCTGCTTCTGGAAAAGGGGGGCAGCTGTGAGGTGTGGGCCACACCCTCTCCTCCCTCCCCTGTCCTCAAAGGGGACCCTCATGACGACCTGGCCAACAGCCCACTCCTAGACCTACCCAGGTCTGCAGCTTCCCCGGGCTTTGCCCCATCGGGCTCTGCATACTCTTCGGGCTCTAGAAAGTCATCTGCTGGGAGATGAGGTGGCCCCAGCAGGAGGCAGGTCAGAGGACAGGCTCAGGAAGGGGCCTGTCCTGAGCACCCCCTTCACCCCCATCCTGGCATGCACCCACCTGCTGCCCCCAGTTCCTCCAGGGAGTCCTCCAGGCGGTCCTCCTCTACAGGCCACAGCCCCTCCTGGGCCCTCGGCAGCCAGCGCTTAGCTACCTGTGCAGAGAACCTGTGAGGCCACTGCTATCTCCACCCCCAGGGGCCATAGGGGGTCCACAGTGGCCAGTACTTGCCTCCCTCCTCTGCAGTTTCCGGAGGGTCTCCAGTTGCTCCCTCACGTGTTTCCAGTACAGAACCTCCATGTCTATACACAAAGACCTCGTGAGGGGGCTCCCATATCCTGCCTAGCGCACCCATCCATCCAAGCCTTGGGCATCCCTAGGCAGATGGGAGGCAGGCAGAGCATGGTGCCATTACCCCTCAGAGAAGCACACATACCCCAGCCTCACCTGCAAAGGACGGGCCCTTTCTCCGGGGCCTCCTGCTGTCAGCATGGTCAGCATCTGTAAGAGAACTGGTTTGTCGGGACCCAGGCCAAGTCCCCTCCTGCCCCACTTGCACCCTCCTGCTCTGGCCTGGCCCAGCCCCACACACCCACTCACAGGTGGCCAGGTACCACTGGTGGAAGTCCTGAAGCTTGGTGGCACCCTTCCTCTTGCGCTTCTGTCCTGGAGCCTCCTCCACGCAGGCGGGCACAGAGTAGGGCCTACCTGGGGGCAAACAGACTGGGAGCACAACTGCAGGCCTCTGGGCAGATCACAGCACCCACATCCCCTAGAAGCCATCACATGAGGGAGCACAGCCCTCACCAGGCTCCCCATGGGGGTACAGGGTACACCCCACCCACCACCTGTGCCCCTTGAACCCAGCCAGACACCGGATGTAGATGTCCCTCCACCCAATTACCTTTCTTGAAGGGCTTAGAGTCCAGGGAGTTGAAGGGGTCCAGGCTCTGCCAGGGGTCTGGAGTTTCCTAAGCACAGAATACAAGCAGACTTGGGGAGACTGGAGAACACGCACCCTCCCCACAAAGCCAACACTGAGTGTAGTGACAGCCAGGGAAGGACTGGCCACACACAACCCAGGATCTGAGGGTGGAAGGGCCTTGGGCAGGCAGGAGTGAAGACATGGGTGGTAGGGCCTCAGGCACACCCTCTCTGCTAGTGGGGTCAGAGGTCTGGGCCCCACCACCTCACCTTCAGCTGGGACACAGGCTCCATGGCCTCCCGCCTCTCCCGCAGCTCGAACCTCCTCGGCTGGACAGTGCTCTGCAAAGAAAGGGTCTCAGGGATGACCCCTCTGCTCTGGGGGCAAATATGCTGCAGGAACCCTCTTTGGGGGCAGGAATTTAAAATCTTTCAAGGGCTAAAAAGTAAAACCACTAACTTGGGAAAAACTTCGGAGAACACACAAACTGTAAAACTAGTGGTCATGGGGAAAAAAACAACAGAATGACACGATAAACATCGTGCAGCTACTAGCCAAAAGGAGCAAATGTTAACACTTTCCTACACATGCCAAGTTTGCTTTGTAATAGAAAAAAGGATTTCTTAGCTCTAGGGCTGGAGCAGAGAGCCCACCCTCTGGGGTCAAGGGAGGCAGCAAAGGCTTACAGGTGCACCCCTTCCTGCAGCCTGCCCTCAGATCAGCTTCAGAGACCAGCTACCATCCTGGGTGGTTACATGAGCACCACAGGGCTCAGACCTTGGACGCCAGCCCACCCCACAGGAACAGCAGGTGCTCTGCTGGGAGAGGGAAGGGGCGTGAAAGCTGCTGCCCAAGAGGGCTGGGTGTAGGACACACCCATTGCCCTGATGTGCGGAGACCATGATGGGAGCACACTGACCATGGGATGGCCTTCCCTGTGTACGAGTGGCTGCTGCAAACCCAGGCCCTGCCCAATTGACGGCTCAAGCTTTGCAAGCCTCAGTGTGGGTCCCACCTGCTGCGGGCTCCTGGGCTCCTGGGGCTCCAGAGGGACCTCAGGGGCCATGGCCTCAGGGAGCTCTGCCGCCCCTTCTGCATCATCATCCTCACCCCCACCTCCGGGCATCGGGCCTTCTGGAGAGGTGCCTGGGCAGAGGAGCAAGAGACCTGTCAGTCCCAAGGAGCCCAAAGACCAGACAGCAGGTGGAGGGCTGCCCCTCTGAGCCTGAGAGGCCATCCCCTGTCTCGGCTTCGTCCAGTAGACCCAGAGAACATAGCATGGCATTTTACACTCTCCTTGACGTGCTGCTGTGTTGTTTGGTTCATTTCACTTCTTAGCTACTTTCCTCTTTAAATGCTGCCATCTGTGTCTGCCCAGAGAGGAGGCCTAGGAATGGGCAAAGAGGGCAGCGGGCCAAGTGGGGGGCGAGGCCTGGCCTGGGTGCATGGGGCCAGCTCCAAGGTCTCATTGTTCCCATGCCTCCCCCAGCTTAGGTGTAGAGAGGAGGGTGGGCTAGGTTGCCTGAGCGAAGTCCTGTCCCCACCCCCACCTGCAAGTCCACCAGGATGACCTCTTCTCACCTGGCTCCGGGGAGATGCTGGGCACAGGGACCGAACTCCTGATCACAGAGACTTCCATTGGCTGCTCCTCAGCCCTCCCAGCCTCTGCAAGAGATAGGAGTTAGACAGGTCAGCCCAGCCCCTCCTCCAGAACACCCTCCCAGGGGCCCAGAGGAGCCAGGGCTGGGGAGGGAGAGCAGAGCCCTGGAACAGGACCCAGGCACCCTAGACTGAGCCAGCTGTGGGCAGATAGGGGAAGGGGCAGCAGGACCTGCTCCAGCAGGCTGGTCTGTGCAGCAGGTGACCAAGAAGGGAGGAGCTCCAGGGACCAGAGCTGGCAGGAACAGGATACTCAACAAGGAGCCCAACCCCAAGACCCTTCCTTACCACCAGGCCCACACCCGAGCCCTCACCCCTCCTCGGCAGCAGTGTCTCCATGGGGGACAAGCCCTCCGGCTCCAACATGAAGGCTCCTCGGGGGTGAGGGATGCACGTATTCATCCTAAAATCCTTCCGACTGGCCAGGACCTCCCCCTGACAGCTGTGCTGGCAAACACACAGCCACTGCAGAGACCTTCCCAGGCAGCCCCCTCCCCCCACCAGGCCCAGGCCCGAACCTGTACAGGGGGTTGTTGTTTTTCTCTGTCTCATCCAGGGCTACCAGGGCCATAGGCAGGAGAGGGGCGATGACGACCTCCTGCATGGGGGCCGAGAGCAGGTGAGTGTGGGTCCCATGGGCTCTGGGTGGGGAACCCATGTGGGATGTCCACACAGTCCAACACCCCTATCAGCTACATCCAGCCACACCTACGGGGGAGGGGCACTCACGCTGGGGGCCTGCTCACTCCTCAGGTCCACATTAGCACGGGTGTCAGGCAGGTCATCCAGTGACAGGAACTGTGAGGAGATGGAGGGTTCAGCAGCAGCACCCAGCAAGCACCTCGGGCAGCAGCCACGCGCCCAGGAAACCTCACCTCATCCTCCACCTGCCGGGAGGCCCTGGAGCTGGCGTCCCTACTGGTCCCGTCTTCCTGCACTGAGAGCTGCCTGGCCCGCCTGAAAGAATCGATGCACGGGTGTCTGGAGGCTCCAGGGGCTTCCTGAGCCGCACGCAGAACACCCACAGGCTTCCACCTCCGGGCTCACACCTCCTGGACTCACCTCTTGCCAGAGATGAAATCGAGGGCCTGGTAGACCAGCGAGTAGAGGTATTCAACCTGGAGGCCGGAAGCAGGAAGTGAGGATGCAGAAAGGAGCCGACCTGCAATGTTCAGGGCCCTCCCCAGAGCCTTCCAACCCAGATGTCCATGCACAGAGAAGCCCACTGTCCCCTCCAAAACCTCTGGCACAAGTCCTGCCAATGTGGCCACCAAAAGTACTTCTCTGGTTGAACCGAGTTACTCTAACAGCTGAGCCCTTCTCTGCCCCACACTGCCACAGCAGCAAGCGCAGCCCTCTCAAGGCTGTGCATCCCACCATGCACCCCATGCAGCTCTGCACAGCTGCCTGGATGCTGGCTCCTTTCCCTCCCATGGCCTCAGCCCACCTCCATGAGCCCCTGAGTCTCTGGCACCTGGCCCACCATGGGGCCCCACCCTTAGGGTGAGGGTCAGGATTTGGAGATGCTGACCACAAAGCACCCACCAGCAGGGTGGGTGCACGTGCTACTTCTGGGCCATTTCCTCTGGGCACAGCCCATCTGCTAGGCCAGACTTTTCTTTCATGCACTGAACACTGGATACAGTGGTGAGCAAGAGACACAGTGGGCCCTGATGCTATGGGCCCCATTTATCAGGAATAATAAACATTAACTTTTCTAAGTGTTTGCCGCACACACCGGACCGGGCTTCAGGCTTCATCTCAGTCTGAATCGGGTGCCACTGCTACCCTCATTTTGTAAGAGAATAAACTCAGGGCACACTCTCACTCCTAGGAGCACACTGGTACCTTTCCCTGTCCCTTCTTTCCCCTCTTCTTCCCCTACAGGCATGCCTCTCCTAAACTCTAAGGGACCCCATGAGACTTGCAACCAGGGAAGCAGTGGGCAACGGTAGCTCATCCTGGGCTAACGCCCTGAACCTGTCCCCAAGGCCCCCTTTTCTCCGACTCTCCGGTGAGCTGACAGCAGGCCCATCTGGGCTCACTTCTTTCACTGTGATTTTTATTTCACAGTGAGCCAAAGCAGCCCTGCCTTGACTCTCTCCTGTTGCTTCTTTTGTCCTAAGGCCTTCCTTGTTTCACTGTCTGCAGCTTTAATAAATGTACTCTCAAAATAAAAATAAAAACATTTTTCTTAATTTAAAAAGACATAAGCTCAGACTCAGAAACACAACAGCCTGGGGCAGTGCTGGGCCCAGGACTGTACCAGGAGTCTATGAACCATCTACATTAATTAAAAGTTAATTGAACTCAAAATTCAAAATTCCTGCCCTGGCCAGTTCTGCTGAGTGGTTAGAGCACTGGCCCACAGACTGAAGGGTCCTGGTTCAATTCTGGCCAAGGGCATGTACCTTGGTTGTAGGATGCCCAGCCCCAGTCGGGGTGGGTTGCAGGAGGCAACCAATCGATGGTCTCTCTCACGTCAACGTTTCGCTCTCTCTCCCTCTCTCCCTCTCTCTCTCTCTCTCTCTCCCTC